ACGAAATGCCTTTTTTCATTGTTCCAAAATTGATCAACCACTTGTTGTTCATAATTCAGCGCGCGCCTATTTTAAAGAAGAATTTTCTTTTTGACACACCATTCTGAAGAGTAAATTGTGCTCTACACAGTACACTACTTTTTATTGCAGCTTCTTTTCAGAAAAGAGCGAATAAGAGTGATTTTTAAAGCATATCGAAGGTTTTTGACAAAATGCGATTTTCTCCTCTAATTCTCAGCCAATATCAATTTTCAATGCATCATTAGAAAGAGCGTTACAAACTGCACCAGAGAAGTTGTTTTCACAATTATTCTATCTTAGAAAAATGACTTGGTAGATTCTTATGTGCACCAATCATGCATAGTGCTCCTTCTATTCTCTCATTCGAGCATCGAAGATAGCATGAAACTTTTTTTAACATTGGAAATTTGTAGAGAATTGCTTTCTCTACAAAACTCGTCTATTTGAAATCGACGGTAGTTTTATTCTCATGATCAACATACCGTTATTTCGCTCTTAGGCTTAGAGTGAAATTTGAACATTAACTTCAACAACAAAGTGGTTTCGAATTTCGTCAAATAAAGTACTGTAAGATGAAATGTGATGTCGATTTTTTTCTCCACGTCTTACACTCTTCCGAGCGAGATATGGTGGGGAAAAATAAGTTCTTTATTTGACGAAATTCGAAACCACTTTGTTGTTGAAGTTAACGGTCAAATGTTACTCTGATCCTAATAGCGAAATAACGGTATGTTACTCATGAGAATAAAAGTACCGTCGATTTCAAATAGAAGAACTTTGTAGAGAAAGCAATTCTCTACAAATTTCCAATGTTAAAAAAGTTTTTATGCCATCTTCGATGCTCGAATGAGAGAATAGAAGGAGCACTATCCATGATTGATGCACATAAGAATCTGCCAAGTCAACTTTCTAAGATAGAATAACTGTGAAAACAGCCTCTCTGGTGCAGTTTGTAACGCTCTTTCTAGTGGTGCATTGAAAATTGATATTGGCTGAGAATTAGAGGAGAAAATTGCATTTTGTCAAAAACTTTCGATATACTTTAAAAGTCACTCTAATTCGATCTTTTCTGAAAAGAAGCTGCAATAAAAAGTAGTCTACTGTGTAGAGCACAATTTACTCTTCAGCATGGTGTGTCAAAAAGAAAGTTTTACCTTAAAATTGGCGTGCACTGAATTATGAACAACAAGTGGTTGATCAATTTTGGAACAATGAAAAAGGCATTTCGTAATTATGTTGCTAATAAATGCTGAATACATCAATAGATTGACTTCAAATTTTGTATACGTAGACTGCAGACCACGAACTATTATGTGACAAAAACCAGACAGTTCTAGCTTATTTAGCGTCTGAGGTATGAACAAAACAAAAAAGTTCATTATGGTGGTTGATCAATTTTGGTACCCACTGTATATGTCGATTCTTACACCATCACCAGTGACTTCAACGGAATGAAGTCCAAATTGATGGCTTATTTCGTCATCGAGCTTGTTTAAATCAACATTCAAATTGCTTTTTGCTGCATTAGTTAATTGAAGAAGACGTTCACCATATGAATCTGATTGAAAACGATCGTTTCGTTCAATGGCTGCAATAATATCTTTCATGTGATCGTATTCATTAAGTATTGAATCAAGTGTTTTGCATGAAATTAATTAACCAAGTAGTTCAATTCGACTTGGTATTCCTTCACAATTTGGTTCAAGCAATCGACGTATCTTATTAATATAAGAATTTAACATTAAATATAGAATATTAGCATATACTTAAGATTATTATTATTATTATAGCTAAAATATTTAATTGAAAGGTGTTAACAGAATTTTACTTTATTTGATTAAATATTATTAGAATTATTTTTTTAATAATTATATTAAAATAGATTGATTATTTATTATATTGATATGAGTAGAAAAATTCATTCTATGTTATAATCAATAATATCTTCAATGGTCTAATTAGTATTTGGAAGAAGTATTAATCAACTAATGAAGAAGAAAATGATTTCTAATATAATACCGGTGAGTAATCATCAGATTTTGTTTGTTCAATATTTAAATTATTGTTATTTGTTGATTCAATTGAAAGTAAATTATTTTCTTCAATATGTTTGATTATTGTTTTCTTATTGGTTGACTCTCTAGATTCATCTCTCGCATTTTGAAGATTGATTGTTAAAGAGCTTCTTCTATGTAGATTAGCTTCTTGTGATTGATCATATTCAGGATTGAGCGATATCGATCTATTGTATGGAAATTTATTAATTGTTCGATCATTTTTTAATCTATTGATAGATGTTTGTTGTTTATTCTGCATTTCATTGGATAAAATCTGATTATTTTCAATAATAACATATTCATGTTTGTTATCGATCGAACTCGGGACAACGGATTGAGTGATCTTCGAGTTGTGAAGTATTTCTTTGTTAACAGAGGAAATCGATTGTTCATTATAATTTCGGTGACTATTGATTTGATCTTCTTGCAATTGATTATTGTTTAAGTTGCGATTAATGCTATTTGTAACGATGGAATGTGTTCGATTAGGTTGTAATATATGATCATCATGTTCTTCATTCTTGACATAAGAATAAGATTTTAAAGTTAGTTCAAAAATGATTTATGAAAGTGTGTAAAAGATTATTACTAAATTATTAACCTATTTCTAGTAAATGTGATATATTGATGACTCAAGAAAAAAGAAAAATAAAGTTCTTCAAATATGATTGAAATTGTCTGATCAACTGTTTTTGCTTTAGTGTATTCAAGAAGTGAGTAGACTCTACAATCGGTCAGTGTGTCCGGCCGTCCGGCCGTTTACACGATAACTTTCGAAAGGAGGATCCGGTCGCGATGAAATTTTCTATACAGTTTTGTCTTATCAATGTCTCGGTCGAGTGTGGGTGGGTGTGAGTAGGGTGGGAGTATAAGTGAAGAGAAGAACGCTCACAACCCACATCCACACCCCACACCCTCATCGGGTTCAACAGTTACTGAATGGTTGTTCAAATAGAATAATGAGAAGTGTCGTTCAGCAACAGATTTGCAGCTGATAATTAGCATTTTATCTTACTTTTTGTCAAAATAAAATAGAAGATGATCGATATTTTGTTTGTATTTATTATTCTTTGAGAGAATATATTTCAAATTCTCCTATTATTCATCGTGATTCTCTCAATAGGTTTCTGAAACCATCTCACATCAAGAGTTATAGTACAGGAACGTGGCAGACAGTCCGATATGTGTCTTGATCTAACATTTAAAGGTAATATTGCAGACGCAATTTTACTTGTCCTCTACAATTGAATCCATTGTGTTTGAATTTCACTGAAAGCGTGCCTTGAAAGACAATATTGTAGTTACGACTAGTGACTATTCCACTACGAAGCTTTTTTTTTTGAATATGGAATGCAGGCTTTATCTATTTGAAAAACAAAAAGAAGGAGTACTACACTCAATTGCAAAAAATACCTATTAGATGTAATTACTTCAACATCAAGATGCTTGCAAAACAGTTACATTAAAAAAAAATCTGAAACTAATAACAGGCAACATTTTTTAAAGCATACATGCCAGATATTGATACTTTGAAAGTAATTACGGAAATTAACATATATTGTTTTGAGTTATACCTACGAAGTTATTTTTCTTGCTTATATTTTTGAGTGTTTCATTGACAAGGCGAAGTTTTTTTGTTCATTTATACGCTCTAAACGTTACCATAGACAAGTATTTGCTTTCTGGAGATTCTTATGATGTTTGAATTTCATCTATTACGATTAATATATAATTATTTTCGATTAAAATTCACCTCATTAAATCTATATGATTCTCGATCAACAGATCCAACAACAGTGCATCATGAAATTCTCTCTACTCGTTTATTTACTTTTCTATTTGGAGCTTCACTTGCTATACTCACCATCTTCACTTCTTTTCGTCCACAAACGACACTTCAAAACATTCAATCACCATCTATATTTGATTATGAACGCCTTCTAAAACAATACCCGAACACTGTTCAATGCCCATGTACATTTATTTCGATACCTTATGAAACATTTATCACTATTGAAACGTCATTTCATCAAGTCTGCTCAAGTAATTTCATTTCACAAGCATGGATTGATTTTCTATTCAAAAACATTGAGAGAAGTCTGTGACCGATGGATGCGCGTACTAGTTTGAGTGCTATGTGGCAATTAATTGCGACACTTTGCCAAAATTCGATAACTTTTCTTACTGATGTACTTACTGATTTCACTAATTCACCATTGATTAGCTTGACAGTCGTAACCAGTGATCGCATCGAAATTGATCCTCAAGCAGCACTGAATGAAATAAAACGAACAGCATCGAATACTCTACTACTATCGCTTACTGCTATACATCAAATTATGCAAATAAATGATTTTTTGAAAGGTACATCAATAAACTACATCATACGTACAACCAATCAGCCATTCGAATCGATTGAACCCATTGAAATAATTGCAAATGAATATCTACAAGACAAATCAACAGTTAATTGTTCTTGTCTAAATAAGAAATTCTGTCCAATGTTGGGTTGCATCTACTGATATGATGTATGGGATACTGATGGATTTTTTGATCTGAATATTCTAGTCGCTAATGAAACACTACCCGGCATTGTTATTGATTGTTTACCACTTCAAGCGATATACGCTTCATCATTCGAATGTTTCTATAATCAATCATGTCTCAACATGTTATTTAAAGCCTATTCAAATAAAATGGATATTCAAATACTTAATAAATCTTTACCAAGTCGATTTCCATTAACTGCAAGCATTAAAACACTCATTGATGACTTATTCATCGAAAAAATGATGATTCAAACCAATTATGATCTTTATTTTAATGCATGTAGATCAGTTTACTGCAGTTATACTTATACACAACGATTCCATTGGGTCTATGCTATTACGACTCTAATCGCTCAATATGGAGGATTAAATACAGCATTTTATATTATTACACCTTATTTGATCGACTTGCTACTATTCCTGAAGAAAAAAATATTAAGAAACAATCGAACTCAACAGGATGAAGGTAAGTATTCAAATATATCTGATAACGATGGACTCTATTGGGATTCATTAACCGTGTTCATATTCCAGTGTATGCACATTGCATGTATATATTGAGGAACTGTAGGGATGTTATCTCAAAATCTCCGTAGCAGCTGGAGAGATAACATAAAGCATGTTATTAGAACTAGGGATGCACCAGTACCAGTATACTGGGTACTGGTAATACTGGTAAACCAGTATACTGGTGACCAGTAATACTGGTTTTCGACTTTCGACAAAAGCTATTAGTTGAATGCGTAATTTTCTCAGCATCACTTTTTTGCCTATATTCAAGTAAAAAATTGAGTTTTGCATAAGTTTGAAACAGTATACGATATTGTATATAACATTATAAAGAACGTTTTTCAATAGTTTTCATCGTTTTTGAAGAAACAACATCATTAATTCAATTCATAGTCAAGGTACAAGAAAACATTGTGCTCGAAAAACTATATTGAACATATCAGATAGTACGAAACGTCAGTTGATCAAGAAAGCAATAAATATATGTATATATTGTAAACAATGACAATTGTCGCTCATATTAGTATTATATAAGGAAAGATTACTGATACGAGGGCAACCTATTCACTGATTTTGTTTTAGTCAACACTAATAAAACGACTATATTTATGTGCCAGGCCCAATTTGTAAGTATAAATCCAAACGATAAAAGTTAGGGACAGTATTTTTGATTATATCAATTAAAAGATTCGATTAAATTATTGGTATCGTTACAAAATTGAACATGTAATAGTGACATTGCTTGTTTACCCTACTGTAATTTTCATTTAATATATGTATTATCTGCATCATTTCCGATATCGTAAACAAAAAAAAACTCTAGCTTTAGCTATATAACATATATACACAAACTAACACAATAGATAAGTGTTGATCAGGTTCACTAAATACATGTATATTTTCTTTCTAGCTCGATTAGACTTAAGTACAAGCTAGTATGTTCAGCATAGTATCCCCATTTTTTACTCTCTCACTAAATCAATCAATGAAATCGTTTTTTTTCTTCAAAAACGATAAAAACTATTCAAAAACGTTCTTTATAATGTTATCAGTTAGGTGAGTATACAATACCGTATACGGTTTCAAAATGCTGCAAAACTCAATTTTTCACTTGAATATAGACAAAAAAATGACGGTTGAAAAAATTACTAATTCAACTAATAATTTTTGTTGAAAGTCGAAAACCAGTAATACTGGTGACCAGTATTTACTGGTGGACCAGTATACTGGTCACCAGTATATACTGGTGGACCAGTATACTGGTGACCAGTATACTGGTGGACCAGTATTACTGGTCACCAGTATTACTGGTCCACCAGTATATACTGGACCAGTAGACCAGTATAATACTGGTACTGGTGCATCCCTAATTTAGAACAAATACTAATAGGTGGGATACAAGAGAACTTGAAGCTTGTCCACAAGTTTCATATTCTAAAATCCAGATGTTTTTCTCTCTCTAAAGATTCGTTATTTAGTTCTCTACAAAATGGTTCATACAGCATGATCTTGATACTCGAGATGCCCTCTAATCGAATAGAAAAAAATATAGCCCATGACATTCTCTATCGAATGTTCTCTCGAAAAATTTCTTTTCTTGGAAAAGAATATTTTAGAGCGCCACTATAATGCAAAATCTCTAGCAATACTTCATTGAAAATAATTGAAATCATTTTGGTTGCCAACTGTTCATGGCAAATTTTTACTACAACAAGGAGATGCGAATGGAACAACTTTTGCTTCAGCTGATAGAAAGCATATAAATATGCGGATACAGGTGTTTTTCGAAAAGAGATTTAATTCGTAATTCTTCTTTTTTTGTAGAAAAAAAGCATATTTTTTGAAGCTCACGATTGTCGGCAGATGTGAACGTGCTGAGAAGTCAGTTTCTTCTTTTCCACCCATTATTTACACAGACTTTTAAATATAACTGAAAAATAGTGGTCATCAAAGTGTATTTCGGCAGTCCAACATTTTGTGTGGACCATCGTTTTATATTTTTTTTAATTTGAGAGATAATGTCATACTTTATGGTGAGAAAAGAAATAACTAATTCAATGTCTCGAAAGACTCAAAAGCATTGAGCTCTAATAATAAAAAGTGCTTTTTCTAAATAATAACGCAAATTGTTAATTCAGAACTAATGAAGTTCTTTTGAGAATTCGGGGATGCATTATGTGATGGAAATCATCAAAATTTTTGGTAAAAAAACGAGCTGCTAAAATGAAGAAAGCATGCCATTTATGAAAAACCAGAACTCGGATATTTATCTCAATTGCTATTTTTCTAACAAAAAAAAAGAATTTTCTGAATTAAATATTTCTCTTTTATTGTCAGTAAAGTGTTAAATCTATCATGCAACAAGCTATGAAAAATGTCAGTAATTCTTAAAACCAAATTTTCATACGGTGAATAAGAGTTTCACTTGGTGAATGTAGGTGTGACGACTCAAAGTTACTGGCTTGAGGTGTCTCTTTAATCATAATTTGGCATGCACACTGTAGTAGCTCACACCTTCATATAAGTCAAGTGAATTTCATGGCAAATCACACTGCGAAGATTGCAGAACAATGATCAGTATATCATTTTTAGTTTAGATGGTGTGTTCGCGAAGTCTTGCTGATAGACTCAGTTGTTTCCTAACACTTTGCTATTGGATTTGAGAGTCATTGGAAAAAGTTTATTAATGATGCTCCATCTTCCAAAATCACAGACAAGATCATCTCTTGTCAATCTATTTTGTGCAGAACTCCAGATGCCATCGTTTGATAAATAAGTATTTCCATCAGGGGAACAATAAAAGAGAATTTTCGAAAATACTAACAGCGGAATACTTGCATGGGCCACCCTATAGTTATCGGTTCATAGAATAAAACAAATGATATGATTGATTAAAAGATGCTAATTAGTTGAAGAACGAAATTGATTCTACGAGAAAATAATTTGATAAATAGTATAGCTCATGAATGTATCAACTTGTGTTGAATTCCGATCATATTTTTCTTTGTCTAGATGTCAGAATTTACACTCTTCTTTGCCATTGGTTTCATAAACTGAGAGTCTCTATAATCGAGTTCAATATGTTCGACAACTATTCAAATGATCGATTTGATATTATTCGTGGTCGTTTCTCAACATGGCTCTATGTAATACTTTTAATCACTACGATGACTAGTATTATAATTTTTAAGACAAAATCATCAAATTGGACAACGGTAACTATTCATTCGCCATCGAAAAAGCAATATGAAGATTTATATCAGCAATATTCAGATACATTACAATGTCCTTGCACTAGTATTTCAATTCCTTATGGAAAATTTATTCAGATCACATCATAGCAGCATCAATTGTGCGAAAGTAATTTCATTCAACCTTGGTGGTATCAAAGTTTAAATGTAATAGGAAATACCGATGCATCATTGAAGTCTTCTCTATTTATTTCATCCTATTTTCAAACATTAGCCATATTGTGTGATATCACAAAGTCAATTATAAACGATTCAATACGTCGATTTTCTTCGACAGCATTTGTTACATCTGTAGTTCTTCAACAGACGTCAATCATTTTACAAGCGAATCAATTTATTCAAAAACTGCAATCTTCTATTTCAACCGAATTACTCATTATTATGTCAACAATCAATGGAATACTTCATGCTAATCAATATATCACCGGCCAAAGAACAAATACTTTACTAAATAAACTATTTTTTAATGCATCCAATCAAACAGAAATAATTTCTATGACGAATATTGGCTATGATGATAATGGTAAGCAATGTTTTTGCGCTCGAAATCCATTCTGTAACATGGAAATACATTATCAAGATACATAAGTATGGACAATACCACGCTTATCTTTCAATTGCTTCGTATTCGATTCGGTATTGAAATCATCTCTCGTATGTTGGTATAACTCTAGTTGCCTAAATAAAGTTTTAATGCAATTGATCTTTTCCAATATGTCTAATATCACAAATATGACCGTTCTTGATGATACGTTGCCTAGTAGATTTGCTCCGAGTACTCCAGTAGAAATTCTACTCAAGCGGATGATGATTGAATCATGGTTTTCATCTATTAATTAGTGCTTTCTATACAAGCTGCCACCCGGTATATTGTACATTTGCCTATGATAGTAGATATAATGCCCTGTATCTTATTACTACAATTATCGGCATTTTTGGGGGTCTTGATATTATTCTTGAATTTGTTTGTTTGATAGTTGGACGATTTTTATTTCGATGTGGTAAAGCGCGACAACCGGATAATACATCGCTTCCAAACAATCCCGAAGTACTTAATCGTAAGTAAAAAAAACAATAATGATTAGTTTTAATCATATTGGAATATTTTGTCTGCGGAAAAGCTATTGATGTAATTTTTTGTCAGGCCAAAATAAGAAACATGATGCATCTACTGGATATGTAAACGAGAGTTCTATTCTCACCGAGCATATTGTACATGAATGCTTGACAAAAAAAATATTCAAATATGTTTGTAGGACAGATTGGGGACGATATTTATATTTTTCATAATCTATTTCAACAATCGTTTTGAAGAGAGAAACAACTGATCGCGATACTCCGGAGTCAATTGTTTCCATTTTGCCGGTGTTTCTCAACAAGATCGATCTTCTTCGAAAGGCATATTATGTATAGAAAGAAACTACTTGATGATATAAATTAATGTATAGCAGTTTCCTCTCTGCAAATTTTGGTTTATTTGTATCACACTTTGTAATTTGTCTGTATAAGATGTAACGCTCTTCTGTTTAAGGAATAGTTTTCTCGTCAGTATGCTGCTTCTTATGCTGACTAAAATTGTTGAATTTTTATTGACAATCGCAGCGTAGAAATAATCGTTGTCAAAATCGTACTATCGAACATTGACATTGATGTTTTCCTACTTCACAAGTCCGAAATTTCAGGTTTTCTTCCCATTCGATAACTCGCAAGAGTTTCCAAAATATACTATTGCCTTCAACTGGTACATTGTCTAAAATAATTTTTCATGTGCGATTTATCAGAGTAATACATAGATGGATTCAAAATAAAATAAATTGTGTAGAATACGACACTTTAAAACGCAAATCATTTGAATAGGAAAATAAGCTTAAGAATATTTTATCAACAAAAAAAATCGAATCAGTGTCATTTATCATTCAGTATCATTTGTAAATCTCAAACATTACATTTTTAGAAAAAAAAGAACTACTTAGATATTGACTCAATTTTTTGATGAATAGTTTATGTTAATCCTTCAAAAAACTCATTTTAGGACATCGTCGAAATTGCTTGCTTCTCTGAAGTGTTTGGGATTTTGTTCGACACGAAATTAGAATTTATAATTTATTTGAAAGTGGATCAAATCAAATTGATATTATCCGTCGTGAACGTTACTCAACAAGAGTCTATTTATTTCTTTTATCTATCAGTATATTTATCATAATTATTTATACTATTTCATCCAAACAAATTATTAGTCAAAAGATCGAATATCCTTCTCAAGAGACATACGAGAAATTGATGCAATCATATGCTTCCACATTGCAGTATCCATGTTCAGAGATATCGATAAGTTACGATCAATTTTTGACAATCGATCCTATATTTCATCAGGTTTGTTCAAGTGATTTTGTACAAGACTCGTGGCTTGATTTTTTGTTCAACAATAGCTATTGGTTTTATTACGAGAGAGCAGATGTTCGCGTACGTGGATCGGCATATTTTAGTTTTTTATCGATGTTGTGCCAGTTTGCGCAGATCACTACTCTCAATGCTATGATGCAGTTTCTTTCAGAAGAATTTATAAATTCTCAATTGATACCCGAAGGTCTTTTTCAAGCACAGATGACTGGAATTGTTGATCAATTTCTTAGCCTCATTTCTTCTCAATTAGCTCATATTTTACAGTTTATACTAGGTATCACACAGGGAAATACATTTGTATCCAGCTACTTATTGAATTGGTACTGGCCATTGCATAACAATAGCAATCAGACAATGATTCAAATGCGTGCCGTTACATTTGATAATTTATGTTCGTGTGGAACACGGACGAATTATGTTCAACCGGGAGGTATTTATTCCTCAATCATTGACAAATCATACTGGATGATGCCTGGACTCAATGTAAGCTGTTCAGTTGTTGAAACATTGTTGCTTTCAACATTTGAATGTTTGGAAAAGTCCAGAACTGTTTCCAAATACCATCAATATAACAGCTTTGGATCCTATGCTACCAAGTAGATTTGACCCGAGCATTTCTATTCATGACGTTGTCGATTGTCTCTTTATTGAAGAATGGCAAACTAGCATCTCTTATATGAAGTTCTATGAACAATGTGCTCCAATGTATTGCACCTATTTATTTGAAAAACATAGCAATGTTTTAATCATTATTTCAGAAATTTTAGCACTGTGGGGTTGTCTCACTCTTAGTTTTGGATTCATCGCTCCATGTATTGTTCGACTATTATTCACAATCGCTACTTTCCGTCAAAACAACACGGTTAATCTTGCCACTTAATTCACTTCAACTGCTTAGTTGTAAATTTTATCATTAATTTAATTTTGAAACATAACATAAAGTAATGAAAGAAGCAGTGTCCAAAGTGAGATATGTTCAGCTTTCCGGAAAAGATAATTACAGAAGTTTCCTTTTTTTGGAAGTCTGAACACTACAAATTTTTTTCTAGAAAAAGTCTTTATGGCATTAATCTCTTCAAGATGCGAAGTCTAGAAGAACTCATCGATTTTTTGCTCAATAGCAATCCAAAAGTTTCGACCCCTTAAAAACTGGTTCAAACTATGTCGTAGTGATGATCATTTTATATACGATGATTGAGCTTTTTTCATCTTACATCTTTTGACAGAAGAAGAACAAAAGATCTTTACTGTCTGAGTCGTTAAAGTTGAGCGAAATATTATTTTCTACATGTTTTTTATAGATATTTTTATATGATTAGATAGAGTTCGATACGCTCTACAATAATATGAATATCAAGAAATATTCAAATTCTGTTTCCACTATAAAACTTGGAGGAAACGACGCAGACTAATAAAAGTCTCATATATCATTCATGAGATAGTATGTTTAACTTTCAATAAATTTAGTTGATTGATTATTAATTGATGCTTCGAGATGCAGCGTCCCATACTGAAGCTGAAAATAACTGTTCTGACGTTTAGTCTCTGTAATATTTGATACTTGACGTTTTCATTCATCTTTTTTGTTTCTTTCAAGTTTTATAGCAGGAAAGCAAAATTCGAATTTTTCTTGATATCCACATTCTTGCAGAACTTGCCGAACTCTATTGAATTATGTAATAATATCCAGGAAACAATATGTCGCTTAAGACGTTACAATACAGATTAGAAGAATTTATTTACAGTATAAACATAACTGTTGTCATCGAAGATATTAAAACTGATTTTTCATCTAATGAATATATTCAAAATAGCTTTATTGGAAGAGAATATGGCAAGGGGGGGGGGCGGATCCCGTCTATTCGGAATAGGGTGGGGATCCAGTGGATCCTGGGGATGCGCTGGAGGTCCAGAGGATGCTGGGATCTCCTTTTTTCCTCTTGAGATATGAACAAATTGGTTAATATGTCTATTTTGAACCAATAAGAGCTATGTGGCGAAGAGAAGACTTAGAAGTACACCCACACCCTCAAGTTTTTAAGGTTCTAGTTTTTCAGTCTAGGTAACAGGCAGAATGTTTTTCAGCAAACAGGATTAGGTTTGTGTATCAGCAGTAAGCTAGAAAAACACCAACGTTGCTCGAACCGTAGTTTGCGATAATAACATCGAGTATGCCATCGCCATTGACATCGGCTGCTGTCACAGCCTGCGGTGAAACACCAGTTGAATAGGACATTGGAGAAGTAAATATGGCGTCGCCTTTGTTGTAGAAAGCATCAAAACTGCCCTCTCCGAAGTTTGCGACAATAATGTCGGGTTTGCCGTCACCATTGATATCAGATGTTGCCACAGACCACGGACCAGAGGTAGTTGAATAGGTCGTTTGACCAGTAAATTTGCCGTTGTCCGTGTTGAGGAGAACACCAACATTGTCCGCATTGACGTTTGCGACAATTATGTCGAGTTTGCCGTCACCATTCACATCAGCTGCCACTACAGACCACGCAGAGCTAGCTGAATAAGCGGTTGGAGCAGTAAAAGTGCCGTCGCCTTGATTGAGAAGAACACTGACGCTCATTCCCCCACAGTTGGCGATAATAATGTCAGGTTTGTTGTCGTTGTTGACATCGGCTGCTGTTATAGAGATCGCGAAAAAGCCACTTGAATAGGTCTTTTCTGTGGCAAAG